GCTCGTCTCATATAACTATTAATTAGAAATTAAACCTGCTGCGTGTTTATGTCCAAAGCAAAATAGGAAAAAAAGAATGTTATCTCTGTATGAGTGTGTTTTCATATAATAACAATTTTTTTATTTTCTTGCTGATAGCGCTTTTTGGCCATCTTTGATTTCACACGAATACACACACACACATACAATTGCATACATACATTGTTCGCTCTTGCGTAAACTTTCTAGTTAACTATAGGGGTGTGAGTCAGAGAGCAACAACAACAATAATGACCGTATATGAAGCGGCAAACAGCTGAGAATTTTTATCAACTTTGCACTGTTAACATTGCCATTAATGGATAATAACCAATGCACATTTGTATTAGCGCACTTACAGTAGCCTAACTATTTATATGTACAGCGATAAGTAAAATTAAATTCTATATGAAATCATCATTAAAAATATACCAAAACAGTCACACACACATACAGTCAAACACACAACTACAAATTACACACATATCAATGGCATGGTATGCGAATGTATTTAAATTAACAAACAAAAAATGATTCACATAAAAATAGCCCCAATATATCCAAGTGGCTGACATTGCCGGCAACACAGCTGTCTCCTGTCCTCGAACACCCGCCCACACTTGCATACAAATACATACATTTATATGTGTATATATGAACACGTACAGCGATATATACGTGCCATTTTAGAATTCCAGACAGCCTGGCCGCAGGAACTCTAACTGTATGTAACCCCACCCAATTGTCAAAGCAGCCGGCACTTTTACGCTGTGCTGCTGGGCACTTCACAAATTGCAGCATATATATATTTTTTACGCACATTTTTATGTTTTGTATTAAGAAAAGCACATATATATTTAGCACACACACATACACGTATTTTAATATTCTTGTAAATTAGCACTTACCACAAATTTGTAATAGTAGCGCTGAATGTCTAATTACCAATTTACCGCTGCTATAGAACAGTTGTGTGCGAAAAATCGACGACGAGTGACTAATTTTTCGCTCGTTCGTTGGACTAACATCTGATTTTAACAGAATCCCATTTAGCATCTTAATAAAATGTTATTAACAGCGTGCAGTCAGCGTTAGTGCAAACTTTATCGTTACTTGCTTATCGATAGTTTTTAAATCCCCCACTTTTGAATAAACGCTAACAATTTCAGTGTTCATCTGGTAAAGCTGTCCGATCAATTATAATGATGAATATATGTAATTAAATAGATCTCTGAAGAATGAATTCGATGATTTTCATTATCTTAATTTTGTCAATAAGAAATCAAAATATACCAAATTAGCGGACTTTTCAAAATGACTGTACCATTAAATGTTAATTATTAGTTTCTTTTTTATGTAATGCTTTTTATAAATCACATTTAAGTAACATATTTCATTGGTGCAAATAATCCATAAGGAAGGGCGTATCATCCGGTCCATACGGGGTCAAAGGAACATCGTAGGGCAAGGGGAACGCAGGCACACCATTACGTGCGTTGCCCAAAGGAAATGTGTCCTCGCCAGTCTATAAAAAAAATTATATGTTAATCTAAGCCAAACAACTAGAAATACGTTAAGCTAAACGCACCACAAATTTAGGCAAAAACAAAACACCCGCTTCGTAGTTGAAAATTCGTAGACAAGGCTGTAAATTTGACTTTTTGTTGAAGGCGCCCCAGGCGGCTTTCGAGAGATTCGCCGAGGTGAGCACAAACCAATAGACGCTTTGATCCTCCAAATTAAATCGAGTATAGCTCTTGATATGCGGCATGGCCTGTGAGCGATGCCGATCCCCGGACTTCCACTGATGCAAGTAATTTTTTAGCCACGGCTGTTTATCATTTGTGCTTTTGCCATAGGGTAGACAACCGCCACCGAGCATGCCGTCGTGACTGCGCGACACATTGCCAAAACTGGGATAGATCATCTTGAAGGGCGGCAGTTGACTCAGTCGCCCGATAGGCGACGAATCCTTGCGAAAATTGCTGAGAATATCTTGCTCTATCCAGGCTTGAACGTTAGCACCCAGACTGCCAATGCTGGAGCTCTGACACACAACTGGTATATTAGGTTCCACTGGCGCTGCATGCTTGGCTAGCAGCGAGCCAAGACGCGCACAGCCCCAGGGATGGCCACGAACAGCGCTCTCACGATGACCACCAGGCACGGAGCCAATGAAGAAGACGCTGGAGAGAATTTCATAAGGATTAGATTTTCATCAGCATCGTAATCAAATTTGATTCCTACTCACTTGATGGCGCTGAAGTCACTTTTGCGTATGCGCGCAATCCACGGCTGCAGCTGTGACAACTTATACTCTACTAGATAAAGCATAAGATCCTGCTTAAAGCCCGTTGGACTCTCGCCAGCGGCTGTATCTGCGTCTTCGGGCAGTGGAGGCAACCGTGGACTCATCCACAAGCCCTGCGTGCGGTTGTGCCAATCGTCCTCGTACAAATTAGCCGTTGAGATGACAACGCGCATCGATCCATCCGCATACCCAAGTAGCATCATCTTCGTATGCGATGTGGCGAATGGAGACTGCATTTGCACCTTAATCGCTGTGACCTGCGGCTTAAACTTGCCAATGTCAACCAGGTTGGGATCATCAGCTCCATATAGCACCAAGAGCGGTTTGGAACTAGAAATTAATCGAATGTTAAAGCAATTAATATAAAGAACGAGTCCAGCTGGTATTAGCTTCTATGCAAAACTCTTCTACTATACCAGCTTACAGTATGCCTGCAAAGTAATAATGGCCCAGTAGCCAGCCGATGTCTATCATGAAATTAATTTGCACGCTCGACTCAATCTCGCCCAGGCTCTCGTCGAATATCTCCTGCAATGTGATGCTCAATGGCTCGCGATGTGTGGGCTTCGAGTCAGTGATGGCCGTGAGAAACATATTATAGGGCGCCGCTTGCTCCAGCTTGCGGGCCATGCGTCCTTTCTCCACCACGACAGATACGTAATCGCGTACATCACGCTCAAGCTTTGCTTTCTTTTCGAGCTTCGATGTGCTCTCCTGACTGCTGGCTTGGTTAGAGGTCACAGCTCGACCGGTGCTGGTTTGGGCAGAGGAAGAATCTCGACTAGTATCGGCTTGGGCAGGAACAACGACTCGACTGGTGCTGGCTGCAGATGATGTAGCTTCCATTGTTGACGGCTTGGCAGTAGTTGCCGGCTTGCTCTTGGCATCCTTTCCGGCCAACTGTGGAAATAGTTTCTCCAACAGCTTAAGCTGTATATTAATTAGCTCACTGGAATACTTGGCAGGTATGTCGTACTCATTGCTATCTCCATGGCAGCCCTTGGCATAAATCGCATCCACTAACAAGGGAAATAACACAATAAATATATCATAATAGATCAACTACGTCAACATTACAGTGTGCATGTGAGTATTCGCCAAAGTGTATGGGATTCTTGCGGTAACATTTTTCGCCATATGGACACTCCTGCATCTTGCTTTACAATTAATTTTATTTATATATTTTTAACAAAATCTCAAAAGATTCTAACAAAAGCGGGAGCTGCGACTGTTGTAAAGTTGCGCTATTAACTGCTATCGATGTTAAATCGATGATATCGATTATTGGTCACGTAAATTCAAAAAGTCGCCAATAAATAACTAATTCAAAAAACCGCAAAAAATTAAATTATTTGTACGACTCGTAACGATTTAATGTAATGAGTCAATAAACGTCATTGTGAATGTATTTTGTCTTCTATATTTATTTCACTCAAACAACAACGGCATTGTTATATTTACAGTAATATAAAGGAAAGTTTACTTGGGAATTTTTTTGCATTGCAATGGAAAACATTTACAGTTCGTAATTTAAACGAAAAGGTTGCACATTCAGTTAGGCATTAAAGTTTGATGATATACAATACAATATGTCAAATAAATTGTGGCAGAGCTTTGATCTTTAATAACAAATACTTTGAGCAGCAACAACTTCAAATACGAGAGGGTATGGATGTGGATATGGAAAGCCTAAGTAAAGTTCTTCTGCAATTGGGCATTAAGGTTAAGAAATGTATGGATTTGACCAGAAGAGCCATTATACGGAATGAAAGCTCATTTGGAATGTGATTGCATTTTAATAGAGTATCTCACATGGTAAAATGGGCTCACTTGAGGCGAGTGATACGAACTATCCGCTGAAAAGTACGTTGGCGGGCAAACCGAAGATTTTTATCATTTTTTGTCAAGGTGATCACAAGGATCCTGGCCATCAGCTCCTTGAGCTATCGAGTTCCATTCTGATTGCGTTCTCAACTATTCCCGGTTTCTGTTCCTGGCGCAACACTGTTGAAGGTAGCTGGTTTATACAAAGTCTGTGAAGAGCTGAGTTCGTCTGGAGAAACTCGGGATATATTAACGCAATTGACTTTTGTTGCCCAGCGGATGGCATTCAATTATGAAAGTTTTTATCCTATAGATTTGGCCTTACATCAGAAAAAACAAATACCGTGCACAATGTCGACGTTGACCCGTATATTGTATATTCACGATAATGAGACGGATCATGAATAATTTTGATATTCATCAAATCACGTCAACCTTTTATAAAAAAAGAAATTTTATTACAATAGTTTATCGGAATAGAAAAGAATTATTAAACTGATAATAACTTTCAGTTTTGATATTTTAAAATATTCCGTTTAGATTTTTACATCTCTAGCGCTAATTGCATAAACATGTGCAAGTGCTGCCAGATCTTCCACAATGAACATTTTTCCGATGCCTATCGATAAACACACAGCAAACAACATACGCATGTGCCCTAGAAATTAGATATTGTATTAAGAATTAATAATAATAATAATAATAATAGCTAAAGAATAATTTAGTTATATTTGTGTTACAAAAGTCTGGCAGCACGTCAGTGCTGTAAAATACCATATTTTGTAGCTTATTCGTGTTGTACACACTTCGTGTCTGTCGTCGGTCGTTCGTCGTTGTCGTCGTCGTCGTGTGTGCAGTTCATGATAAACAATTTAAAATAAATAACAAATTTCACATACTTATGGTGCATTAAAGTAAACAAACTGGCTACCAAAGCAGACCACAAGTGTTAAATTGTACGCGTGAGTAGATTTCAAACAGATTTATGTGCATATCCAATGGCAAATTTAAGCACAGCAGCAGTGCAATTACGTTTGGTGGAAAGAAAATTTTTTTCTTCTCATACTACACTGCTTCCCATTCGCTGCGCGCTGCTGCTGCCGAAAGAGTCTCTTGGCTAGCGTCGTCGTTGTTGTTGTTGTTTTTGGTGTTGTATATGCTTCTGCTGCTGCTGCTGTTACTCTTGCTCTGCAGGGATTACGATTACAGTTTTATTCTCAGCCTCTCGCCAGTTTTATGCTGCAATGTGTGTGTATATGTGCTTGTGTGTCTATATGTGTTTGTGTGTTTTTGTGCTGCGCGCGCCATTAATTGAACTAAAAAAAATTGAAAACAATTATAAATACACACAATAAATTCAAATATTTATTATGTTTTGAAAATACTTGAATGTCGCTTATCTCTGCACACAAATTTCTGAAATTTTTGCTGCTGGTGCTTTAAACAAAAATCCACTTGAATGTTGTTTTTGTACGTGTTGCCGCTGCTACTGCTGCTGCTGCTGTTGTTGTTGCTGTTGTTTGGCAGGCACAGGTGCGGATTAGCAAAAAGGGGGGTTGGGGTCGGCCCATAGATGCATCTCGAGCGTTCTTTGCTTTGTTTAATATTCCTAATTTCAATTAGTCATAATTCAAAACAAATAATTCGTTTATTGTATCTTTGATGATTAATGATTTAAAAACAAACCTTCGACCACCTTTTACCTTTATGAGTCAGATAGGGAGAGCGAGGGAGAGAAAGAGAACGACTTTACTTTACTTTACTTTGCTCTCTTGTTTCCAACGCTCTGCTCAAACAAATTGTTATCACTAAACCACAACTAGAAAACTCTGTGCTCTGTTATCAATTTCATCACACACCTTCCATTTTAATTTGTTTTGCTCTTTACGGTTTTCCATGTTCATCAATACACACAGCTGCATTCATATTGCGTGTGCGTGTCTCGATGTGTGAGCATGTGTATACGTGTACATGTGTGTGTGTGTGTGTGTGCTCACGCTTATCTACGCCGCGCTGCTTCTTTTGCTGCTCTTTTTCTTATTGTTATTGTTGTTGTTGTTATCAGCAGCGCGCGCGCAAACCTTTCGTCCAGCGTCTGCCGAGGCAGCAGCAATGGAAAGCCGCGCAGCGTTTATGTGGGGCGGCACGCACACACACAGGTATACATATGTATTAAGAATTGCCTTCGTTACGCCGTTAGACGCTGGCCGCCTCTGTCGCTGCCAGCGCTAGCTTTGGCGTCGCTGCCTTTTCTTTGTCGAAGGTAACTGAAGCGCAACCCAAGACGTGCACTCAATTCTACGCGCACACACACATGTACACTATGACATATTGTGGGTGTGCTGATTTTTGCAGTGGTTTCTGCGTATTTTGCGGTTCGCTGTGTGCTCTCCCCTTTGGGCGATATGGCAACTACAAACGTCTATGTTAATGTTGTTGTTTATGCTGTGCTTATTGATAGAGATGGGAGCGTGTTCTGATTATATGCGAATTCTATTTAGAAATTCTGTGTTATTGATGGGGGCTTTTAGTTCGAAATTTATATTAATTCCGTTTTAAAGTGTAATAAAATAATTAGTTTTTTTTATTTATTTATTTATTTTTTTTTTTTTTTTTCTGAATGAAAGCAATAAAAAAACATAAATCTTTTTAAGATTATATTGTGCACTATATTTGTGTATTTTTATGCTGCAACATTTTACGACACAAGCCGACGTGCTCGTGTCAGAATATTAAAAACAAAAAATAAGACTCGTTACCAACTATATCTATAGGTACCCAAGTGAGCATAGCCGAGAGTGGGTAAAAATAAAGCACCTGCAATTTCGAAACCTGCTGCATCATCGTAATGCGAAACGGTTTAAGGCCGACTCTGGTAGCAACTGATGCTACTCGTAGACTAGACGATCCGCCAAGCTGATAGCATCTCAATTAGAAACTCAGTGGGCTGATTATTAAACGTGCCTTTAAGTATATGAAGTTATTTGTATATACTTATGTATATATAAATTTGTAAATGTATGAAAACAAGTTATTTCTATTAGCAAAGCGTTTGAATCAAACTACAATTAAGGAATTTTAAACATTATATATTATATAAATATTTTGTATATGAGAAGTATACAAATATCTGTCTAGAAATTTGTAAATCCAAAAATTTTGGATTAAAAATATATAGGTTAATTTTATAAAAATATGAAAACTTTCAGCCAAACTCTTTAAATAGGGTATTCATGTTTTGGTTAAAAATATACCCTATTTTACCTCTTCGCTCTTTTTGACATGATAAGCATCTGTTTATACAAGCGCTTAATAAAGTTGTTGCCCGTCTATAACTTAATAATTATAGTAATATAAAAAATATATAAATAAATTAAAATAAATCCGATTGCGACATGGTCTAAAAATAGGTTCAAATGCGTGTTGACAATTTTTTTAGCTTTTAATTTTATTTTTATTGCCATTGCGCGGATTATCGCGACAAGAAGATCAAGAGCAGCGCGAAAAGCAATAACAACAATAAAAAAGAATTAAATATTTATATGGGGGATATCAACAGAGTACAAGAGGGACGCCCACAAGCAAGCAAAAAATTATTCCAGCTGAAAATAAACTGAAAAAGCGTAAATCACGCTTTCGATAGATTCAAAAATAGTTGTGCAGCGATAAGACCAGCCCCGCCCACAAAAACAAAAAGTCTTGGAAGCAACGGGATTAAAACTCAGGGCTAAATTCGAGACATGCAAATTTCAGTTGCTGCGGGGCATGTTGCACAAACTGCGCATAAATCCAATTAATAACATAATTATTTAGGCGAGAGAGGCAAGAAAGACAGCGAGACCATTTGAAGCTCATTTACAAAATGCCGCTTAAAAGTCGTTAGGTTGCAAGCAGCTAGGCAGCGAGTGCAACGTGCAACAACCTGATGCGTAGGCAGCGCATGTGCCGCCTTACCTACCAGCTGGTTAGCTGGTTTCTAATCATGCCACATGCAGCATGCAACCACAAGCTCTACCATTTCGTATGCAAATTATTTTAATTTTATTTTTTCTTAGTTTATCTTTTTTCCCCCCGAAATTGAAATATTGACTTTGCGCACTTAATTTTCGCCAACCTGGCAAATTGTGAATTGCCCAATCAAGCTAAGACCAAACAAGCGAATGTCTATGTCTATGTGTGTGCCTTGTGTGTATAAACAATATGCAACATAAATTAGAATAACCGTTGAACCGTAAAAACAAAATAGACAAGAAACGTAGGCTTTTTTCTCTGGTCTCTGGTTTCTGGTCTCTAGTTGTAGTTGGCGGCGTGGGCGTGGATGATTTGAAGTACTCGAGGCAGTTGACTTCATTTATATACAAATCGAAGGCGTCAAACGTTCCGGACATGTGTGCGACTAGGCAAGAACTTACTTTGCATAGTTGAAAGTTCTTACAGTGCCTAAAATGATTTATGTTCTTTGCCATTTGATTTATGGTACAGAGTTGGGAAAAAACTTAGATATAGATCTGAAGTGAGGGAAGAACAAATGTATATATTATATATACATCTGCGATTTGAATATAGCACATAAGATCCAGACAATATTTGTCGCAGCTTACATTTTTATGGCTGTTGAGAATAAATGTAGCATTAGCTATAATATCGGGTAATTTTATAAACTAATATATGGTAATAATTTCTAGCTTCAAGTATGGCTAATGTAGGATTACTGATAACTAAGTGTTATACATTAAGATCATAGATTAAATTTAGTTAAGATCTTTAATAGTATTTTTTTTTTTTTAATGAGATACATTGCCTTAAATTAGCGATAGTCACAACAAACATGGAATAATAAAACATATATATAAACAGTTACAATCAGGATAAATTTAACATGATATTAGCTGACATCCCCAGCAAATTTTCCAAGTCACTGAACTCGCCTAGGGGAAATGAATTCTTTGGTAGTGATTGCTATACATTATAGACTACTACATAACTATAGACTACATAATGAGTATCATGTAGGCATGCTAACTTCAAGACAGCTGTCATGAGGATAAATCTAACATGAACATAACTACACATGCGTATGTTCCAATGAATCCTTTGACTCAACCAAGCAAATGCAGCTTTCAGAAATTTCGCAAGGAGCAATCATTTTCGATCGCATGCTAAACTAGATGATAAATTTACAATTAACGTGAAAAGAAGTGTCTTTTTAAGATGATATCAATTCCAGTTAGTAGCCAGATCAATCTTCAAATACCAAGAGCTCAGCTCAACTACTTGGTAAGCAGACAGGCTACAGACTACAGAATGCAGACCACAGAGCGATAGCTGCTATAACTCCCATTCCCATTCTTGGATTGGATTTGAGTGCGCGCAGTCAATGAGCCAAATTGAAGCGAATGGCAGCCAGGGGAAAAACTTATGAAAATGCAACTTTAAACTGTAATAAAGTGGGAAATTACAGCGCATAAATCTCTGTCGCTAAACTGTCAAGACGAACGCGCTGCGCTGCGCTGCTCTGCTCTGCGCTGTTCGAAACGAAAGTCGGGAGTTAAGTTGGAAATTGAAGCCAACACCCACGCACACACACATACATACGAGTTGTACACACACACAGTTCGAATTTACAGTTTGGCAGCTACTGTTGTTGCACATGCAACGACGACCGACGTTTGCATATTAAATACAACATGGGGCAAGTAGCCGAGGCAGCAGAAGCAGCCAGCAGCAGCGCCACACAAGTGGATGCAATGTTTCTCTTGCTTGTCTGTCTGTGTGTGTGTGTGTGTGTGTGTGTGAGTGCGTGTGCGCGTTGTTTGTTTATTTGATTTCTTTTCTATATATTTATTGTGGAGGCCTGCTCAGGCATTCAGATCGCGCCACACACACGACTCTTGACGACGCTTGGCGCTTCATTGTCCATATAAAACTAATAATTATTGCATTTAAAATCTAATAAATAAATGCATTGACAGTCTGGGAGTTGTGGATTTTCGAAGCAACAACAACAACAACAGGAGGAGGCGGTAACGGTGGCAAATGGCAACTTCGCTAAATAGCCGCTCCTATTTTAATGGCGCTGCCGCTACCAGGGCTGCAACGCCAAGATAGAACTTTGGGCTAATCAGATGATGGCATTTGCTTAATTGCAAAAATATGCAAGAGATATATAAATGAAGGCCCATTAATCCCCAAAGCTAATAGTTAATTAAGGCTTATATATAAGGTTAATAATTTTTAACTCCTTTCAAAGAACTGATCAAACTGAAAAACTATTCAATTGAAATGAATCTTCATATGATCCATTGCTGCAAAGAAAAACTTGATTATCGTTAAAAATTCTTTTATTGAGAGAACTACAGAACTGGTTCAATGCGAAACAACAGTTGGTTTGAGTTCAAAGGGATTCCTTGCGAAGGCCTAGTTCCAAAAGCTTTATTCTTTGAGGTCCGTTTAAGAATGTCGACAATAACTTGAACTGCTCAAGAATTAGTTCAGCTGATGAGTTGGTAAGCTGGTAATAGGTATCTGTTTAGTTCTATACAGTATTCATGTGCAGCACAAGCTCATGAATAATTGTGCTATTCAAGTCAATTAAAGTAGTTTAATTTTTGACTTAAATACTTTAAGTTGCTTAACGTCTAAGCTGCGTTTACAGAATTAGTTCTACAGCCCTGTGAGGCGAACGCACAATTCGTGTAATGTTCATCATCAACGTGGACAATTCTTTGGCTCTATGTTGTTGTTGTTGTTGTTGTTGGCTGTGTTTAGTGACAACGTTTGCAGTCGCTTTTGATCCATGTCCTCCTCACTCTCCATTCTCTGGCGACGCTTTTCTAAGAATTCTTTGCGTTTTGTTTTGGCGCACGCATTAGGCGCCACAAAGCGCGGCCACGTTTAACCCCCAAGCAGCAACAGTAGCAGCAGCAGCAGCATTTGCTGCAGTTAGCATTTACTGCAGTAGCAGCAGCAACAGCAACAGCAGCCTGCGTTGCCTGTTCGCCTCCTTTGAGGGGAGTTGCGCATACTCCACATATTTATGGGCCATTTAGGCG